CGGGGCACAACTACCTATGCTCCTGCCTCTCTGTGCAGACATTGGGTGCCTCTTCTTGTCTGTTCCAGTTTCAGTAAGAAGTTTAGAGGTAGCTTGTCGAGTTCCTTATGCAACAAGGGAACTGTTGGCATCCTTACTGGGACGGCACTCATGCACGGGTCTGCACAGAAGAGTCGCCATCTTTGTGACTTCAGATGTTCCTGTCCAAGGACATCGCGGGTCACCACGGGTGACCGCAGATACGCTCCCTAGTTCACGTCAGCTGATGAGCGATCTCCGTCCCGCCTGCAGCTTCAGTTCCAAGAACATCTTGAGTCTTCCCAGTTGTAAGAGCTCCTTCTGGGTGGCCTCTGAAGTGTTCTAGAGTTCTCTGCAGGAAGGCCGTGCACACGTCTCAAGTTTGCTCCTCCGCCTTGTCTCATCTCTGTCTCTAGTGTGGATGAGCCTTGTCCCGCGATGCGGCTTCTGCTTCTTGTTAGCAGGCGTGCTTTCTGCGTGTTGTCTGACTCCGTCACCCGCACTGATCCTCTTCCTGCTGGTGGTGGTTTTACAGCTGATTCTCCCGAGTTTGCCCAGCGAACACTCATCCTCTTGCAAATGGTGGTTTTACCCTCCTCTCCTCTGTCCATTTTTAGCTCAAACTTCCTTTTCTTGCCTCTGGTCTCTTCAGTGCAGCTTAAAGCAGTATTGGACTAACAGCCATGCCTCGTCTCTGATGTTAGTGAGAACCCCACTCCTGCTGAGGACGGTCCTCACTGGCCACAGTCCAGGTGTCAGGCGGGCTCGATTCCTGGTGGAGGTTGTCAGGGGGTGTCCGTTTCTTCACCTCGTCCAGCTCCTGCAGGCTGCCCGCATCCCTGGCTAGGAGCCCCTCCTGCATCTTCTAAGGAAGCGCTGTTACAACCAACCCCCTATTTTCTAGATTTTCTTCAGAGATTCTGTAGGGACAAGAGGAAGGGGCGACATGCTAAGGAAAGGGTTTGGGGTCTGTGATCAGCTCGTGGACATTCTTCTGATTGGCTGGTGGTGAGGTACCTGGGAGTCAGCCGCGTCCACCTTCTGGTTCCAGCCAGTCTGGGGTCTGCACACTGGTGGGCAGCATGCAGTTAACTTCTTCCGCTTGGTAGGGGTTTAGTGTCTGTAAAACAGCTCAAAGGACCTGGCTCAGAATATGATCTGTAGACTTTGAGGAGGAACTAAGGGCCCTTGACTTCGTTTAATGGCTAAATGATTATTATTTAACTTGCTTGACTATTTTCCTTTTTTTTTTTTTTTATTCTTCTGGTAAAATTTATTCTTGGATAAAGTTTTTTTTAACAGACAAGCCAGGCAGAGGACTTGAGGGGCTCTGTCCTGTGAAGGCCCCATGGGGTACTGCTCAGTTATAGGGAAGGAGAGAGGAGAGGCTGAAACTAATTTTCAACACACGTAGAACTCAGACTGCTCCCTTCTGTGGCCATTAATGACCCAGTCTCTTCCCTGCTAAATAATTTTAGCCTTGATTTTAAAAAAGGGTCATAAAATCTTTGGAGTAGAGTTCTAAATAACTTGAAACTGTAGTTTTTGTACTCCGTCCGTCCATTTACCTTTTTAGAGTACATTTTAACCTCTTCCATCAGAAGTGACCATTTAGAGGGGGAGGGTAGAGACCTCAGTGGCAGAGAGCATGTTTAGCATGTGTGAGGTCCTGGGTTCAGTCCCAGTAACTCCATC